TAATTTAAAGGCGCTTTCATATTTTTTTAGCCCTTGAAAGACAAAGGGCAAATATACCATACAGCCTTTATCGATTTTATACTTTGTGTAGGTAATCGATTTATTTGGTGAACATTTTTTTTTTCTGTAAGTGAGCCTACCTATTAAAGGTCAAAGGAATGCAATTTTTTTTCATCATAATTAAATGAAACGCTCATGAGGCGTGCACTTTTAGATTTTCCAAACTATTTTATCCTTCTCTATGGTTATTTCCTCATACGAATCTGTTTTTAATTCCTTGAACTTACACATTTCTCAAACCGTTTTTAATCATGCGCAAAACGTGGGTTTTTCATAGAAGTAAGTGTTTCACTGTTATTATACTGTAACAGGCTATTTTTCACTGTAATTACTTAAAGATATAAAAGCAGGATCAGTATAAAATCACCATAAAAGCTGTGGTTAATAATGAAACGAATTGGTGAAACGGTTAACGAAAGTTAAAACAACAACAACTAAGTAAACTGAATATTAGGGATATCGATCTGAGATCTTGAATTGTTGTTGAAACTGTTACTTGTTGGAATTTTGATATTTTGTATTTTTTATTATTTTGTAGATATGTACGGAATTTTTTTTTCTCCCTAGTTAACACAGAAAAATAATCGAAAATAGATATTAAAATGCTCAATTTAATCGAGAATCGATTATATTGCGCTTGTTTCAAATCGAACCGAAAATCTGTCTTTTTCTTTTAAGTAAATAGTTTGAAGTTTGTAATGTCAAGTCAAGTTTCAAAATGAGAAGTCCTCTATTGGAAGTATGGAGTGTAGAGTAGAAGGAGGACCATCTCCGTATATGAAAAGTGTCCCTAAAAACGTGTCCAATAAGGGTGGCGCTGCAGTAGCATAGGATAAATTAAAAAAGAAGCGCCAAAAGTATTTACAGTAAGATGGAGAAATAAATAAGGGCCGATCAATCCGCTTGGTTTTGTACTACGTAAATAGTTGAGATTTTGTATATTGGCGTTTTACTAACTACTAATCTACTAGTAGTACTAGTCATGAAATATTTGAATTCAGCTGACTTCACTCCGTTCATAACAGCTATCTTCATATCGTAGTTTTTCAGACGCCAGCGCTATTGTGGTAGGTTTTGGAACCTCTATTTTCAGTAAATAGTAGGACACTTTTTCAACCTTCGCTCCTTATAAGATGGTTCTCCTTCTACTCTACACTCCATAATTGGAAGATAACATTTAGAAACGAGAATTTCACTAGTGTATTCTTTATGGTAATCGATTTATTGCCACAAATAATACACTGCAATCGATTTTCTTACTTGTTTCTTATTTTATTGTTTTTTCGAAATCTAGATTGAGAAAAGAGCTACTTACTTGTTTGTATTTTACTTAAGAAAAATATGGCCAATTTTTTAAAGTATAAACTGTATAAACCAATTAGTTAACTTTAGGCTCCAAAATCCCATTCTCCTTTATCCTCTATTAATAATCAAAATTTCAAAATTCAGATGTTTTGTCAACTCCGAGGACTAAGCTGATTTTTTTATAGAAAAAGAGTGACAAGCGAGCACTCCACCTGATTGTAAGTGGATGCGGTGTCCCATAGACAACTTCATCTATCATCTATAATTGAAGTTCGATTAAGAATGAAATTCCAAACCGGTTTTCACATCTGAGGACTAAGATGGAATTTAAATTACTTTAGGAATAAAAAGGGTCCCCGGTTCTTTATACTCACTATACGGAACACAGAAACATTAAGCTGCTATTTTCGCATGTATTCTGTGAAAGCGTGGTCCTACTATTTCTGGAACCATAATGTAGTTGTATCACGTAACAAATGCCCCGTTACCAGGATTCTCATCACTCACAAATCCAAAAAGAGTATAAGATAATAGCAGTATCTATTTACCTTTAGTATTTTGTGTGAGCTTGGTTCTTCCCCGGTCGAAGCGACCCTTAAGTACTTGCGCCTTAATACATTATGTATAATATAAGGTAGCGAGAAAGAAGTTATGAGGTAACATACATAAAAAAACATACAGTCGAATTGAGTACCTGCTCCTTTTTGAAGTCGGTTGAAAAAAGGTAATGCAAATAAGCCATGGCAAGGCCAATCAATACTAGCAATTATAACAATTACTTCTGTGTTTTTCGTAAAGTTTAGGTTTATAACAGCGAGCTGTCGAAGTTATTCAACGTGTACGCTGCAAGGGAATGACGATAAAGGTCCTCATCACAGATTTAGAGTATAGTAGCATAGAGTATAGCAGTAGATGAGATAATAATGCATCAAACCAGTATTGTTCATGCAATCATGGACTCCTGAGACTGACGGACGTGCTGAGAACGAACATTTATTGACCAGCTTGATCGACCAGCTTCCCTCGAGGCTGCTGACTCCAAACCAAAGTTATTGAGGCCCTAGGGCCTAGGGCAACGAAGAAACGGAAATCCTGGCACTGGGCACAGACACTTTATCTTTAACCGACTTCAAATAAAGGAGGAGGCTTAAAATTCGACGTTCAATTCGATGTTTTTTATGTTTGTGTGTTGTACCTCCCAACTTTTTTCTCGGTGAACCGATTTCGATGATTCATTTATTATTAGAAAGCTGGTGCTTCTCATGTGGTCCCATATAAATTTGATCAAGGTCTGACCAGGAATCTTTAGTTATCCTTAATAATTTATATTGAAGTCGGTTGTACAACATTTATAATTTCAATTATTATTATGTATGTCTATGTTCCGCGATACTTTCGTAAATATTAAATCCATATTGATGATTTTTATCGAAATGATTATACTTATACTTAAAGGGTTGCCCCATTAAAGGATATCCACAGTCCACACGTTGCCAGGCGTTGCTTGGCAGGCGGGTTTGCAAACGCAGTTTTTTTTTTAAATTATTAACCGGAAGAGTCATGCTGATGCTATATTAGTAGTATAAGTATTGTAGCACGAATGGGTCGGCTCGACCGGGGAAGGACCACGCTCTCACAGAATACCAGCGTTAAATAGCAGCTTAACACTGCTGTGTTTCGTATATCTAGTGAGGTAGTGAGTGTAGAGAACCGGGGACCCTTTTTACTGGAAAAGAAGTATTCCATCTTAGTCCTCACGGGTGACAATGCATCTACATTTTGATTCGCAAACGAGGATAGACGTAGATGTCTATGGGCCACAGCAACCACTTACACTGTGTGCTCGTTTGTCATCCTATCCTATATAAAAAGGGAAGATAACTACTGCCCATCTCCTGTTTCATTTTCCTCTGTGGCCTCATACATAGCCCACAGGATGAAAAGGGTAGTGGATATTCTTACAAGCTCATAACGCCACTACACGACCACAGTGTTACCATGATACCTCGCAAATAATAATAGATAAAAATTAAAAACATCTTGTAACCTTGTTTAAAATAATAATTTCACTTTTAATAGCGATCAGCTGTCTGCTTACACGTAATTTACTATATTATAATATTATGTATAACAGAACGTAGGTAGCATCGTAGTAGGTATATACACTGGCTGTCGGGATTTCCTCGGTCTCCGCCCGAGACATAGATATTCGACGCTTGTAGCGCTTACAGCGCTTACAAGTAATTCTTGTGGCCATTTGTCATTATTTATAGTTTTTAAATTTAGAATTAGAATAATTTTAGATGGAGTTTGATTAAAAATTCATTATTATGCACGAATTGGTATTTCTTTTTAGTCTATGATCTTAATAGAGAAATAATAATAATTAGTAATAGTAACAGGAAACTATTATTAGCTTTATAAATAAAAGAAACTGACTGAAACAACAAATTATATTATATCTAAAATCTAAAATGAATAGCTAATAACGAAAGACAATATTATTACTTACATAAAATGTTATAATAATAGCTATACATAATATATACACTAGTTAGTACCCACAATGATAAGCACGCGATAAACCGGTAGAACGGGAACTTTTAAACGAGAAGCAAATAATCAACTTGGTTTTTAATTGCTGCAGTAGGTACCAAGAGTATATTATTCAGTGTTTTAACACAATTGAATGGTATAAACTATGAATGTTCTGTATTTTTTGCGTTCAGAAGATATTATACTTAATAAGAGGTATTCATAGGTAAAGTAAATACATATTCAATAGGTAAGTTCATTTCTCGTAAATAGTCTCCAAAATAATTCGTAAATTAGTTCTTGACAAAATTTCTACCTGCAAATACACCTTACAACAAAATCTACCTGTATTTTCAAGACATAAGCAGAAAAAAATATAAACAAATAAAGGTCAACGTACGTAGAGCGCCGTCAGCGGCTTTAGCGCTGTCGCAGGAATCTCAGCTGAGTTGCTCGACACCTGACGTCGCACCGCGCCCCACTGCACCCCTCCGCGTCCCACCGCGCCTCTGCCGTCAGCTGTTAATGTGACCCCGCGCCCCGCCCCCGGCCTTTCCCCTTCGTTTGTGTAATGTGAGGAGGCGAGGCACGAATGGATTAGGAAGGTCCATTTTTTTGCTCATAATTTTTTATTTCTTATTGCTATTGCCAACTCTCATGTCGTTTGTCGGAAATATTTATTGTAATAAAATAACAAATATCTAGTAATACTATTAATAAATCAAATATTATAATTATTTTAATGATAATTAGAGTACAACTAAGAATATCATTTTGGTACCTATAAGCAGAAAAGAACTTGAGTAAAAATTATGTAATATTCATCCAACATCCGAGTCGGGGCAATCAAACTCCATGCATAAATGATATTCGGCTGAATTCGACAGAAGCATCGATTTTGGACTCATCGGAGAATAATACTAAAATGCCAACTTTTAATAATATATCGCACATTATGCCTGCCAAATGAATAATTTATTGTAGTGTGTCGATTCGGGGCGCGCATCCTCGAGAGGGACGCGGTATGGTCGGAGGGGCGGGGAGCGGCGAGGCGAGCGCACGCCGCACGTCAGTCCGCGCCGAGCGGCTGAGCGAGCGCTATGTCCGCGTGCGCGCCGCGCGCTTGCTGTCGGCCGCGCGCCCCGCCGACCCTGCTCGACATCACCGCGAAGATTGTCGCGGCAGCGATCCCCTTCCAACGCATCGAGGAACGCTATGAACGCATCCCAGAGCCCGTGCAACGGCGCGTCGTGTACTGGTCGTTCCCGCGGGACGAGCGCGACATATGCATGTACTCGTCTCTGGCGCGGGCGCCGCCCGACGACCACCGGAACATCGCCTTCTGCCGCGGCCTCAAGCTCCTCGAGGCCGGTTGCGTGGAGAACGTGCTACAAGTCGGTGAGTGTCCGCGCTCCGCGCAGGCGCCTGTTTACTAATACGCGCCTCGCCCACCCGCGCCGTATAAATAAAAACGACGTGTGCGATCGATAGCTGCTCCTCTCGGGAATTATTCATGCGTCGGGTGAGATAAGGACTTCGGATATCGGAACGGGCATGTATGTCCTACGCCGCGGACTGGCCACTGCGTCCGCGACACCAATAATTCGATCGATCGATTCTCACGAACGGATCATTGGCGACGCTCGACCGCAAAACTCGTTACGACTCACCGACACCGACCGGTAGGAAATCGACATAATTAATCGGATTTCGTTTTATACGAGCCCGCTCCGCATCCATATTCCATGAGTGTCAGCCTTCCTTCGTAATTAAATTCTACTTTCAAAACTACGTCGAAACGGCTCGTGAAATTCGGCTAACATTACCATAACTGGAAGTCCCGTTATAAACATAGGGAATTACACAACCGGATTCTTCGGTCGGCTGTACACGTAGGCTCGACTCGGAGGCAGGCTGGGAGCATTAATCAGCGAGCCGTCGTTCTTAGCCCCACTCGGGCTAACGGACGCGAATAAACAAATATTAATTAGGCCGTTTACGTTTTATGGGGTCGGGGGCAATAATAAGCTTCGGTCCGTGGGAAGACGGCGTTTACATATTCATTTGTGCTTATCTAGAATCAAGACGGCGATTATGGGCCTTTTGGGGGCGGCGACGGCGCGGATGCCGAATCTGGAGGGACCGCGTCACGTCGAGAGTTCTAATGCAATAAAAGTTATGGAGTGTGCACGGCGGAGCACCGCAGTCTGATTTTAGGCACTGGCCAGTTTCCAAGTTTAGGGCGGGGAACTTTGAGATGTCTGTGGACATGAATCACGGTGGCAGGCTAACTTATTTCCCACAGTACTGACTCACGATCGTGATCCGCCCACTCGATGCGAGCTAGTGTAGCGTAGATCACAATGTTGACATTAAATGCACCATTATTATTATTATGTTAAACACACAATATTACCTATAATCGAATTGATATTTAATATTTGTAAATTATATAAACATTTTGAAGATATTTTATTTATTTATTCTTTATTGCATTTCATAAGACAAAAGAATACAAAGTGCCTTGAGGCGTTCTCTAACAGTCGACCCATGGACTGGTGAGATTTTGACATAGGTATACGTGGTAGAGCCATGCTGCAGCTATATTAATAATATAGTTATAGTACGAATGGGTCGGCTCTAGCAGGGAAGGACCACGCTCTCACAGAATACCAGCGTAAAATAGCAGCTTAATGCTGTGTTTCGTATGGTAAGTGTAGGGAACCGGAGACCCTTTTTACTGGAAAAGGGGCATTCCATCTTAGTCCTCACGAGTGACAACGCATCTGCATTTTAATTCGCAAACGAAGATAGATGTAGACCTCTATGGGCCACAGCAACCATTTACCATCAGGTGGACTGTGTGCTCGTTTGTCACCCTTGTTCTATAAAAAAGGTGTAGCAATATAGAAATATAGAAAAAGGTGTAGCATAATTTAAAATTTTGTACAGCCGACTTCAATATAAGTTATTTATGAATAACTGAAAAACTATTGGTCTGAACTTGATCATCAAAATCGGTTCACCCAGTACAAAGTTATGAGGTAACACACATAAAAAAACATACAGTCGAATTGAGTACCGTCTCCTTTTTGGAAGTCTGCAGAAAATATAATTTAAAATTAAAAATTTTGTACAGCCGACTTCAATATAAGTTATTAGGAATAACTCAAAAACTATTGGTCTGACCTTGATCAAATTCATATGGGACCACACGAGAACTATCAGCTTTCATATAAAAAGAATAATCGAAATCGGTCCACCCGGTAAAAAGTTATGAGGTAACACACATAAAAAAACATACGCGTCTATTTGAGTACCGTCTCCTTTTTGGAAGTCGGCAGAAAAGAACACAAAACAAAAATATGTACTTGAATTGATGTAAATATGAGATTTAAAGTATTTAAATTGTACATTCATCATTATCATCAATTGTTTTAACAATTAATACAGTTGTACAACCTATCACAAGTTCACTGCTATTCTTAGGCCTCCCCCAAAGATTACCTCAAAGCACGGTTTGAGCCAGATGCATCTATCTCCTATACCTGCATCTGCATTTGAACATTAGCTCAAATCCGCTGCGCTATGTCAAAATAGGTACTCTATGTTTTTACAACAGTAATTGACGCGATGAGTTTTTACTACTTTGAAAATTTTACAGTGTAAACAAAATTTATTAGGTTAGACACTTGACCACAGCATCACCTGTCAGGTAAAGATTTAATGTCTTTCTTTTTTAGCACTAATCCAACATATTATATTGTGAGCTATGAGTAATTTTGGAACATAAATATATTAATAAATAAATATATTATTATTATAAATATATATAATAATTTGTTTATAACTTTACTAAAGTGTCACCTATCGGATCCTAGCATAGCTGTGGACCATCGTCATCTCGATAATAGTTTTTATAAACTGTGATAATATTAAGAAATTGTGTGAATTCAGAAGGTACCTACACGATCAGTGGCACACACACCAAATTATTTATTATATTTTATAGGATAGGGTGACAAACGAGCACATAGTCCAGCTGATGGTAAGTGGTTGCTGTGACTCATAGACATTTACATTCTATATAAAATGAATTTAAGTAGGTTTTTTTTAAATAATTTTACGTATTAACATATTATTTAATATCCAGTAATCGATTGAAATTTTATATTATGTATAGCGATATCAAAGTAAAAACAAACAAAACTAGTATAGCCAGATATAAAACATGACTAGGTATATAACAGATTAACATTAAAGTGCATTCCTCAAATACAATCCCTTTGAAACTTATTATTATTCGTGCATTCGATATGATATTGTCATGCAAAAGTAAACGAGGTCGGTAAACGTTTTAATTCAATGCTAATAACTTCATACGGTTTGGTTAAAATCTCGGTTCAGAACCGGTTTGTGCTTGGGGCAGGATCCGCCGTGTGCGCCTGAATTTGTTAAGTAGGTGCTCACTAAACTTTTCTTGTTATATTAATTTGGCTCTTATACGCAAGGAGGATAGTTTGACAAACAAATTTTTAAATATTTTATTTACATGTTTAATTAAAAATAAAATATAACTATATCTGATAATTGGTTAATATTTTCAATTATGCTAATAATTATAAATTCCATTTCATGCCAAGCAATGCCACAAAGCACGGTCCTGAGCCACTGACTTCCTGCATGTCTTACCAAGTCGTCACTCCATCTAGACGAAGGGGACCTCCTACACTTCGCCTACCGGTACGAGGCTCCCACTCGAGAACCTTTTTCCCCCATCGGTTGTCGGTTCTTCGAGCTGTATGGCCGGCCCATTGCCACTTCAGCTTACCAATCCGTTTTGCTATGTCGGTCACTCCAATTCTACTGCGGATATCCTCATTTCTAAGTTTATCACGCAGAGAATCCCCGAGCATAGCACTCTCCATAGCTTGCTGAGCGACCTTGAGCGTCCTCATACGGCCAGCAGTGAAGGACCACGTCTCAGATCTATTAAAAATTTCAATAGGGGAGAATAATATCTTTAATATAATCTTATGTCACAAAAGTTATGTTGTTTTGTTTACTTTGTGGTTCCACAGTCTTATTCAGAAAAATACGATTGACCCTGCAGGCCAAATATTCCATCACGAATGGATGGAATGGACGCATGGAATTTCTTTCATCCAACTATCATTCCATCCAAATTCGAGCAGAAATTTCGAAGTTATTAAAAAAAAACTGAAATTATTTGACAACGATAACTTTCCAACGGATCAACCGATTTTGATGTAATTGGTGGCAATCGCCGAGGTATTTTAAGAGCAATGATAAAATCGATTATGAAAAAAAAACAATTACACTATAAATTCAAAAGTTATGTGAAAAAAATACTTTCGAAATTTTTTGTCATCGATTTCTCTTCAACGCATTAACCGATTTTGAAGCGATCAACTTCGTTTTCCATGTTAAAGAGCCGATTCGATTTTGGAATTGATCGTTATAACTGTTTAAAAGTTATTTCAGAAAACATTTTTTTGCAAATTTTATTTTTAGATTACTCAAAATCTACTGGTCCAAATTGATTGAAACAGCATTGAAAATCTAAGTTTGGTGAAACCCTTTCGAATGCCACCAAGTTTATTCGAATCGGTCAAGGCATTCAAAAATTATGAGATGTTTACAAACACATACATATATGTACATACAAAGTGACATCCACGTAGGCATAGTCAGAATAGCTTCCTAGGGCCTTGAGATCTGATGAAGCCTCTTTTCTAAAACTGGGGTGAAACCAATAACTCAAATTTTTTGAAAATAATTGATTTTCGTAGCGGGAAGTTAATAAGTTTTTATCTTTAATTTTGTTATTATCACTACATCTCATCGCAGTCCACTGCTGAAAATAGAGTGCCACAAAGTACGGACCTAAGCCACATCCAGAGTCTACCTACGTGTTTCATCAGGTTGTCACGCCATCTAGCAGAGGACACCCAACACTCGAGAACCTTTCTTCTCAATCTGTTGTCAATTCTTAGAGTTATATGGCGAGCACATTACCACTGTACCTTACTGATCCGCTAGACTATTTCAGTTACTTTTGTTCTTCTGCGTGTATCCGCGTTATGGATTTTATTTTTATATCGCATAGAAATTTCGAGCAACGTCTTTTCCATCCCACGCTGAGTGATTTTGAGGTTCCTCATACGACCAGTTCTGAACGTTTGAAGAACCTTACTTTTTGTTCCATAGGTCATCACTGGCAACACGCGCTGGTTGTATACTCTCGTCCGTGCCGTGTAGATGCAGTGTAAGAATATTCACTATCCCATAAATGCCATCTCGTTTATATCGTCTGAGGCGACTGAAGGAACCAACTCGGAAATGAGCAGTAACATCTTCGCGATAATAGCTGAATA